TATATATATATATATATATATATATATACATATATATATATATGTATAAATATAGTGTATTCCAAAAATAATGTAAGTTATAATTATTTTTCAGTTTCACGATGAGATAGGAGAAATTGTCAAAAAAGCGATAGAAAGCTGACATGTTGCAAAAAGCATTAGAACATTATCAAAGTAAGTATATATATATATATATATATATAAACGGATTGAGTATGTAAAGAAAGAATTTAGCTAGCTATGTACAACAGCTGATCCAAAGTAATCACACGCACACACGCACGCACACACGCACGCACGCACGCACACACGCACGCACGCACGCACGCACGCACGCACGCACGCACGCACGCACGCATACATACCTATATATATATATATATATTCAGGTAGAAGTATAGAAATGAAGTCAATTTTAATAACTGTGGAGTCTTTGAGATTATTTTCATTATTTTTATATCTGTATTTTAGTCTTTCAATTTTTTTGATATTAATAAAGCCATATTAGGCTATAAAAATCCTTCCTTAATCTCATCAATAGAAAGATTAGAGTCGACTCCTTTAATAATTTCTGTTCTAAAGATCTTGTAATTAGGAACTCAATTAAATGGTAAAGGAATATGGGACTCAATAAATTTATTGGCATCAGTGGCCGTTTTAAAAAATATTCCTATTATTTTCTTACCAAGTCTACGTATATTACAAATGTTGACACCTCTTTTAAAAAGGTATCGGCCCAAACTAACCGAGTGAAAATTACCAATATTGTCATCTTCTATAGATTCGATATAAACAATATAAGGGAAATTGTTATTCTCGGTATATCTATTATTGTTTCTTTGGAGCATTATAGAAGCGATTCTCTTGGCAGACTTACAAGGGACCCTCACAAACTGCACAATAGCTACAGCATAGAGAAAATTATCCAAGCATTTTGACTTCCTTTGGATCACTTTCCACCCAAAAACTAGATCGGAAATAAAATAAATATAAATAATAAAATAATAAAATAAATTTTTTTTTCTAATTGTTTGATAAATTATCCAAGTATCTTGACTCTTTTTGAA